ATGTTTAGGTGCGGGCCCGACCTGTTATAAACATGTTTAATTTTTAAGCAACGGGCATTTGGTTTTTTTTGAAACAACCGACCTCCGAGTTGGTATTTATCAGCGAAAAATTAAAACCGGTAGTTTTTTGGAACCCTAGCATGTAAAGTAGTAGTTTTATGCTATTTACTCCATATACGGAAACATACGGTGTCAAAATACGGCTTATATTTTGGCATGGAGGAAGTAGCTAACATCATTTTTTTTTATCCTTTCATAAGACAAAAATTCTTTTCCTTTTGTGACGCCATGCGAAGGAGCATGACCGCCTGCTCCGCAGGCTATCGGGCATGAGGTGCAGCTCCGACTCGGATATGACGGACGACTCTACCTCTAGCTCCGACAACAATGCGCCTCCTCACGCCGACGCCTACACGGAGGAGGGGCATAGTCGCGTCGACGGCCAAAATGGGAAGGGGCCGGCATGGAAATGGTGATTTTCTCCGCCCTTCCTCGTTCTGTTTATATTTTATCTATGTTTCATAAGTTTGTAGTATGGATTTGCACTGTCCGCCGTTGAATGAATAATGTTTCTTTTGTCCGGCTAATCCGATGAACTATGTTTTGATTATGTATTTTACGTAGCGTTGCATGAATTGCATGGTTTTGAGGTTTCAGATATGAGGCGCACGAGCGTGAAAGACGAAATATAAGACGTGCTCAGCCAGTGCCCGTGGAGGCGTCCGCGGACGCGTTTGAGGGGTCAGATTTGCCCAATGCAGGTGTAGATGCTCTAACAGGGCTTGAATTCATTTCGATGTAACAACAGAAATGGAAATTCCAGCACATCACTTAAGCGAAGAAGAGTGTAGAAATCCTCAAAAGAAAAAGAGTGCACCATTCGTGCGTGCGTGCGTGCGTGCTAGTATAAGATACGGATTCCTCCATTCACGTGCTACGCATTCGTCGTCCCATCAAAGATCCACGCTACCTACCAGCCTGCATGGTAGTACTCCCTCCATTCCTAAATATAGGGTGTATAGTTTTTGGCACGAAAATTAAAGAACACATGTGGAGGAAAAATTTCATAAGTTTTGGGTGAGATTACACCTGACTAATTCAGATGAGAAAATAAAAAAGCTTGCATGATATAAGGAAATGTAATCAAATCCCTAAAAAAATTATCCAAATGAGTGGTACAAGGCAATACACCTTATATTTTGGATTTTTTCTCAAAAATCTATACACCTTATATCAAGGAACGGAGGGAGTAGTAATCTCCCCGGCCCATGTGCAGCGCAGATCAGTGGTGGCTACTGGTGCTTTGGTAAATCGAGCAGCTAGCGAAAGATGAGCAGAGATGGCATCCAAGGTTGGATGGGTGGTGGCACGTGAAGCGGTGCCAAACCTTCGATCAAAAAAGAAAAAAGAAAAACCGTGAAGCTGGGCTAACTCGGGATCCATCCCCGACGACAGCAACCTAGCGGGCCGCGGCCCGTAGTTTACGAATTTTCGGCCGCTGGCCCGTCTAGCGTGCGCTAAGCTGCTTAATTAGGCCGCGTGCACTTATAGCTGCTTAATAGTCCCGCACGGCTCGCTTACAAATCAGTTACGCACCTTAATTAGGCTGCTCTTGGCGTACGTAGAGCCGAGGAAGCAATCACGGGCCAGTTAGCGCTGGCTAATCGGGTTTGCGAGGCAAAAGACCGACGTATAGACGTTGAGGCATACACGCATCGCAAATGCGAGCCGAGTCTATACGAGCGACGTTTCATAGACGTTGAGGCATACACGCAGCGCAAATGCGAGCCAAGTCTAATGATCCGCTCCGTGTAGACGTATACGGTCGGTCTTTTTGTCTATTTTCCATGTGATTTGAATTTCTTTTTTTATTAAATGATACTCCCTGCGTTCCTAAATACTATTTATCTTTTTAGAGATTTCAAATGGACTACCATATACGGATGTATATAGACATATTTTAGAGTGTAGATTCACTCATTTTGCTCCGTATGTAGTCACTCGTTGAAACCTCTAGAAAGACAAATATTTAGGAACGGAGGGAGTATGATTTAAATTCTTTTCAAACTAGCAACGGAAATGCAAATTCAAGCACATCACTAGATCCAAGAAAAATGTAGAAGCAGTTGCAAGGTCCGAATATGATGAGAACATTTGTTTGTGTGTGTGTGTGTGTGTTGGGGCTGACCTGACAAGGTGTACGATGGAAACCTCCTTTGCGGCGCTACAAGATACCGATTCCTCCATTCATTTCCTACGCATTCATCGTCTCATCAAAGGCCTAACCTACGAGTCTGCATAGTAGGCTAGTAGCAGCAGTAATCATGCACCGATCCACACTCGTGCTATATATCTGCACTCCCCGGCAATGTGCAGCGCAGTGCAGTGTAGACTACTGGTGTTTGGGGGTAGATCCAGCAGCTAGCAAAAGAGGAGCAGAGACGGCAAGAAGAATGGCATCCAAAACAGCGCTCGTGGCTGTGGCTCTGCTCGTACTTGTGGCCGGCGATCTTGCTCATGGCCACGCCGTGCCCCTCGGACGCGCAACTGCCCGGCGGAGCCTCGGCTGGATGCAAGGCATGAAGGGAGGGCCGCCCAGTGGCATGCAGCCATCAGAGACTGCCCGCCGCCGCGCCATTTCTTGGGTGCAAAAAGGTACTAGATGATTCTTCTGTAACTTAATACTATGTGCTAGCTTCTGCATTGCTATGTGCTAACTTCATATGTTTGTCATCAGGCGAGGAAAGCAGCTGGGCCGACGGTGGGGAGGAACGCAAGTTCATCGCGCCTGTGCCAGGATTCAAGCTCCCGCCCCTCCCTCCGAACGCTGCCTGAGAAGAGATCACATCACAGGGTGAGCGTGCATGCGTGCCGTGACATTGACCATCACTAGGTCTGTCAACAAATAAAAGTGCCGGAGTGTTCAAGGGTGCTTTATATATAGTTCAATAATAAGTAAGGTGGCATCCATCTGCTATGTTTAAGCTACTAACGATGCCGCCTTCGTTAAGTAACTGTAAGGTTGCAGCATGAGCTGTATTAATGGGAGAAGACGGTGAGCATTCAGCTTGAAATGGCTCAGTTCTTGAGAAAGTGTCAGTGTGATGAATTGTTGACAAGGGAAAGCATAAACAGTTTCAGAAAACACTTGAATAGGCTCGACGTGCATTTTTATCGACAAACATTGCCCCCACACTGCTAAGCTTCTGCTAAGTTTACTCTTGTTAAATTCCATCCTATTAAACTCGTAATACCCGCGAAAAAATTAAACTCGTAATAGGATGGTAATACACAACAAACAAAACAAGGAAATCCAGCAACATCATCAGTTTCAAGCCTATAGCATTGCGTACCTGTGACCACTTTCGAGCCTGTGTGCACCCTCGACAGGATCAAAGATTCAGAGGAACAGAATATGACAGTTAGGAGTCCATGTTCATTATTCCTGTTCAGACCAGTAAGAGGAAACATGAGTTTTATGCATGCAACAAAATGTCCTTACCAAAAGGTTAAGTGAGTGTGCATTATTTAGACATGTGATTCTAGTAGGGTTGTAGATACTGAACCAGGAAGATTCTCACAACAAAAGGTTCCAACAGTCACACAAAAAATCTAAACGACGATGCAAGTTTTGTAAGCGAGCACAAGTTCGTCTTGAGTGATGTCTCACGTGCTGGACTGGATGAGGTCATCAAGTGGCTGTGGTAAACTAGGTCAACTACATTATACGGATAATGAAAGAGACAATGACCGCCGGCAGTTCAGTTAACCACTACTACACTAGCTGTCTACAAGACAAAACATCTCTTTTCAGGTAGGTACACATGTCAAAAAATCAGAATAAGCATTGGAAACTCTTTGTGGCGACATGTGGCGACATGTATGTCTCTGCCAAGAGCTGCCTGGTTAAACAAGTTCTGCCATTGGCTACTGTGCGCTGTTCTTTTGCAAAAGTATACCAACTACCAACACTTGAATTCTTTTCAAAGTAACAACAGAAATGCAAGTTCCCGCAAACAATAAATTGAAGAAGAGTGTGGATGGTCCGAATATGATGAGATCATTTGTTTCCCACCTGAACTGAGATGGTAAAGAAGATCGCCTGAGTTCAGCCTGTGAAAGGAGCTCGGACGGATTGCTTCCACTGATCCAGCGCACTGCCTATCATATACATGCCCAAGCCCAGTTCACTGGTTTCAGGCCTAAAGCATTTTGTACATGCGACCATTGCCGAGCCTGTGTGCACCCTTGACGGGATAAGAGATTCAGAGAGCCCAGTTCACTGGTTCATGTTCATTTTTCCTGTCAAAGTCAGTAAGAAGAAACATGAATTTTATGCGTGCAACAAATGTTCATACAAATGGTTAAGTGAGTACATTATTTAGAGCTGTGATTTTCTTAAGAGTTGTAGATACTGAACCAGGAAGCTTCTCACAAATAAAAAGTTCGGAGAAAATATTCTCACAAGAAACTAAACAGCTATGCTAGTTTTGTAAGTGAGCAGCTGTTCGTCCCAAGTGATGTCTCATGTGCTGGACTGGATCTGGCCATCAAGTGGCCATAGTAAACTCAATCAACTACATTACATGGATAATGAAAGAGCCAATGATCACCGGCAGTTCAATTAACCACTAACCCACTAGCATCTCCAAGACAAAACTTCTCTATTCAGCTGGGTACAGATGCCAAATTTTCAGAATAACCATCAGAAACTCTTTGTACTGACATGTGGCGACATGCATGGCTCTGCCAAGAGTGGCCTAGTTAAACAAGTTCTGACATTGGCTAAATGGCAAAGCTGTCGTCACCGTCAACACCCTGGATAACACTAATGCTGGGTATAATTGACCGGACCCGGTCCAAGCTAGTGACAGAATCTTCAGGCCTTAGCATCCGTGTGCACTCTGGATAACACCTGACGAGAACATCAATGCTGGGTATAGTTGATCCGGTCCGAGACGGTGACTGAATCTTCAGCATGCGTGCATATATGGACTAGCATGATTCTTCAGCAGCTAACACTTCCCACTTCCTCAACAGTCTCTGAAAAGACCAGCAGAGCAAGAATGGCGATCACACTGGTCTTGCTGCTCGTGCTACTTTTGCTACTGCCAGTGACTCGGGCCTTAGCTCAGGAGCAGCAGCAGCAGCAGCAGCAGCCGACGCAACATGTTGTGCAGCCGGGCTGCCGTGACAAGTGCGGCAACATCACCATCCCCTACCCCTTTGGCATCGGCGCGGGTTGCTTCCGTGACGATGGCCGAGGTGGCTTCCAGCTTTTGTGTGAGGACTCCCTACCAGTGCCACGGCTGACCGTGGCTGACTACGGCATCCAGATCACCGGCTTATCCATTAGCACCGGCGAGGCCCAGGCCTCCCTCAACGCATCACGCCACTGCTACAACAGCAAGGGGGGCATCATCAGCCAAGGCGGCCCGGTAGCTGTACCAATCGTCAAGACCAACCTCCTCTTCTCGGCCACCAAGAACAGCCTCGTCGTGCTCGGCTGCCCCAGCCTCGGCTACCTCAACGACGTTGCCGGCTACTACGTCAGTGGTTGCATGGCCATGTGCCAGCCACAGAAATTCAACGCGTCAGGGTCCTGCACAGGTGTCGCCTGCTGCCAGAGCACGATACCCTCCGGCGTCGACTACTACCAGCCGAGCCTGCTCGACATGCCGAAGAACAAGGGAGACCCGATCTTCTATGGAAAGAGCACGACCTGCCGGTACGTGTTCTTGGTGGAGACAGAGTGGTTAAGTACCGGCTACACCGGCGAGAACTTCAACCGGACAGACGACTTCGCCGTGCCCGTCGTTCTCGACTGGGCAGTACGGAGCGTCAGGAACTGCAGAGCTGCTAGGCGCAACGAAACCAAGTACGCGTGCCAGAGCACGGTCAGCCAGTGCGTCAATTCCAGAAACGGCGCTGGGTACCGGTGCGAGTGCTCCAAGGGGTATGAGGGCAATCCCTATCTAGAGGATGGATGCAAAGGTATTCACAGATATAGATCTTGCTGCAACTGGAACATTACTCAACTGTTGTCCCATTTAGCTAAATGTCCACTGTCCTTCTACCATTTTTGCCTCATGCTCTAACAACAAGTTTTGCCAAACTGAAGACATCAATGAGTGTGAACACGAAGAAAAAGACGCATGTTACGGAGTCTGTATAAATATGCCGGGAAGCTACACTTGCGAGTGCCCTCCTGGGACTAGTGGAGATGCCACAGCGAAGAATGGCTGCCAGCCAAAGGACAGTTTCACTTTAGTACTGAAAATAGTTACAGGTAAACAGACAGATCTTCAATTTTTGCCCCTTTTGTTTTTCATGCTATTTTTGCTGCTGCAGAACTAAGGGCTATGCAATATGTCGTACACAGGTGTCAGCCTTGGAGTGTTCTTGCCATTTTTCATGTTCTTCTGGCTCTACTTGGGGCTCCAGAAGAGGAAGCTTATCAGAACAAAGCAGAAGTTCTTCGAGCTAAATGGAGGCCTCTTCCTGCAGCAGCAGATAAGTAACTACAATGGCACCAGCAAAGGAAATGGTGGCTTCAAGATCTTTTCCAAGGAAGAGCTGGAGAAAGCTACCAAAAACTTTGCAGCCGACCGTGTTCTGGGCCATGGAGGACACGGCATTGTCTACAAGGGTGTCCTTGAGGACAAGACAGTGGTGGCGATCAAAAAGTCAAAGATGGAAGAGGCCCCGACCAAGGAATTCGCAAGGGAGATGTTCATCCTCTCCCAGATAAACCACAGAAATGTCGTCAAGCTTCTTGGATGCTGCCTTGAAGCCGAAGTGCCCATGTTGGTCTACGAGTTCGTCTCAAACGGTACACTGTACCACTACATACATGGTGACAAGGGCATCAACTCTGATATAGCCTTTGGCACCTGTCTTCGGGTAGCGGTAGAGTCAGCCGAGGCACTGGCATACATGCACTCTTCGGCCTCGCCGCCAATCCTCCATGGAGACATCAAGACGGCAAACATTCTGTTGGATCACAAGCTCACAGCAAAAGTTTCAGATTTCGGAGCATCAAAATTGGCACCAACTGATGAGGCCAAAATGGCAACGTTGGTGCAAGGAACTTGCGGTTACCTTGATCCAGAATACCTAATGACATGCCTGCTGACTGACAAGAGTGATGTGTACAGCTTTGGTGTTGTGCTTTTGGAGCTTCTGACAAGGAAGAAGGCATTGTACTTGGAAGGGCCAGGAGAAGATAGAAGCCTCGTTTTATGCTTCATGACGGCAGTGAAGGTAGGTCAGCACCAAGAGCTTCTGGACAGACAAGTGAAGGATGAGATGAGAATCGAAGTGCTTGAAGAGATCACGCACCTTGTGATAAGATGCTTAAACATGAGTGGGGAGGAACGGCCGACAATGAAGGAGGTTGCAGAGAGGCTGGAGATGCTGAGGAGATACCAGCACCATCCGTGGGCTCAAGCGGATGCAAATCCGGAGGAGGAGCAGAGCTTGCTTGTTATGAACCAACAGAATGTGAATTACAAGTTCACGCAGGATTACATCCTTGATTTGTGAAGGAAGCAGTACATTCATCTTTAGCTCGTAAATCAAAATATTTTGTATCATTATTTTTGCACATTCCCTTATATATGAATTCTTTTGGATGTAAGAATACAAATGCACATATGATGGTGGCCGAAAACTGAACACTGCCAAGATCTAACCTCACAGGTTTCACAGTTCAATGAAATTTTAAAAATGTTCCAGATCAATACTCCAAGTATGTAACTATGCACATTAATTAAATTTTAAAAACTACGCTCATTAATTGGTTAATTTTTTTATACTAATTAAAAGACATTTAAAACAATAAAAGAACAACAATTTTGCATTTGTTAAATTCCGTCCTAATTATTCGTAATAGAATAATAATTATACAGTGCAAGATATACACAACAAACAGAACAAGGAAATCCAACACCATCGGTTTCAAGCCTATAGCATTTCATACCTGCGAGCCTGCAACCATTGTCAAAAGAGAGAGAGGGGGGTACATGGTTATAACAAACTAAACGGCGATGCTAGTTTTGTCCCCAGTTATGTCTCACGTGCTGGATTGGATCAGGTGGCCGTAGTAAGCTTGGTCAACTAAATTACATGGACAATGAAAGAGCCAATGATTGCCGGCAGTGCAGTTAACCACTTTTAGTCTCCACTAGCATTAACAGGCCTAAAGTTCTCTTTTCAGGTAGGCATACATGCCAAAATTTCAAAATAACCATCAGAAACTCTTTGTACTGACATGTGGCGACATGTATGGCTCTGCCAAGAGATGCCTGGTTAAACAAGTTCTTCCATTGGCTAAATGGCGAAGCTCCGGTCGCTGTCGTCACTGTCAGCACTCGAGATAAAGCATAACAGAACATCATTAACTATTGCTGGGTAATTGACCCAGTCCTAGCTAGTGAACAGATTCTTCAGCATCCGTGAGCATATATGGACTTCCATGATTCTTCAGCAACTGACACTTCCCACTTCCTCAGCACTCTCTGAGTAGACCAGAAGAGCAAGAATGGTGATGACACTGGTCATGCAGCTCATGTTGCTGTTACTACTGCCAGTGACTCGAGTCTCAGCCCAGGAGCAGCAGCAGCCACCGCAGCAGGTTGTGCGGCCTAGCTGCCGTGACAAGTGCGGCAACATCACCATCCCCTACCCCTTTGGCATCGGCGCCGGCTGCTTCCGCAACGACGGCCGAGGTGGCTTCGAGCTCGAGTGCAATGACTCGCGCTCGACACCGCGGCTCACCGTGGCTGGCAATGGGATCCGCATAACCAGCCTGTCCATCATCACCAGCGAGGCCAGGGCCCTCCTTAGAGCAACACGCCGATGCTATGACAGCAAGGGGCGCATCACCGGCAGGAGCGGCGACACGTCCGTACCACTCATTGGCAGCCACTACCTCTTCTCCCAGGCCAGGAACCGCCTTGTTGCGCTTGGTTGCTCCAACCTCGGCTACTTCGTCGATGCCGCAGGCTACTACGTCAGTGGGTGCATGGCAGTGTGCGGGCCGCAACACTTCATTGAGTTGGGGTCCTGCACAGGCGTGGCCTGCTGCCAGAGCACGATACCCCCGGCTATCGACTACTACGAGCCATACGTGCTCGACTTCACAAAGGAGCAGACAGACAAAGGCATAGTCTCCTATAGCAACAGCACAACCTGCCGGTATGTGTTCCTGGCGGAGACCAAGTGGTTAACTACAACACTGACTGGTAAAAGTGAGTACCTCAACCGGACCAACAACTTCGCTGTGCCCGTCATCCTCGACTGGGCAGTCCGAAACGTCGGCAACTGCAGCGCCGCCAAGCGCAACACAACCGACTACGCGTGCCAGAGCGCGCTCAGTGACTGTGTCGACTCCAAGAATGGCAATGGGTACCAGTGCAACTGCTCCAAGGGCTACGAGGGCAACCCCTATCTACAAGATGGATGCAGAGGTATACACTGTTGTCCTGTTTTACTGTTTCATTTCCTGCTCCTTCATCTGATGAATTGTTTTGCCAAAATGGAAGACATCGACGAGTGCAAACGCAAAGAAGAGCAACCATGCTACGGCGTATGTGCAAATACTCTGGGAAGCCACACTTGCCAATGCCCGCCAGGGACTAGTGGAGATGCCACAACAAAGACTGGTTGCCGGCCGAAGGACAATTTCACGTTAGCACTGAAAGTAGTTACAGGTAAACAGATAATTTGGCAAATGTGTTGCTCTCGCAATTTCACTGTTGCCCCTGCAATTGTACTTCAGAAAGCTAATGATAAATTGATAATGCTATGTCGTGTTCAGGAGTCAGCGTTGGAGTGTTCTTGCCTTTGTTCATGTGTTTCTGGCTCTACTTGGGGCTCCAGAAGAGGAAGCTTATCAGAACAAAGCAAATGTTCTTCGAGCTAAATGGAGGCCTCTTCCTGCAGCAGCAGATAAGTAACTACAATGGCACCAGCACAGGCACTGGTGGGTTCAAGATCTTCTCCAAGGAAGAGCTGGAGAAAGCAACCAGCAACTTCGCGGCCGACCGTATTCTCGGCCGCGGTGGGCACGGCATCGTCTACAAGGGTGACCTTGAGGACAAGACAGTGGTGGCGATCAAGAAGTCAAAGATGACGGAAGAGGTCCCGACCAAGGAATTCGCAAGGGAGATGTTCATCCTCTCCCAGATCAACCACAAGAATGTCGTCAAGCTGCTCGGATGTTGCCTCGAAGTAGAAGTGCCCATGTTGGTCTATGAGTTCGTCTCGAACGGTACACTCTACCAGTACATCCATGGTAGTAGGGGCCTTGACTCTGACACAGGATTCCACACCTGCCTTAGAATAGCAGTAGAGTCAGCCGAGGCATTGGCATATATGCACTCTTCAGCCTCGCCGCCGATTCTCCATGGAGACGTCAAGACGGCAAACATTCTGTTAGATGACAAGCTCACAGCAAAAGTTTCAGATTTCGGAGCATCAAAACTGGCACCAACTGATGAGGCCCAGATGGCAACGTTGGTGCAGGGAACTTGCGGTTACCTTGATCCAGAATACCTAATGACATGCCGGCTGACTGATAAGAGTGATGTGTACAGCTTTGGTGTTGTCCTATTGGAGCTTCTGACAAGGAAGAAGGCATTGTACTTCGACGGACCGGAGGAAGATAGAAGCCTTGTTTTATGCTTCATGATGGCAGTGAAGGTAGGCCAGCACCAAGACCTTCTGGACAGCCAAGTGAGGGACGAGATGAGAATCGAAGCGCTTGAAGAGATCACACACCTAGTTATGAGATGCTTGAACATGAGTGGGGAAGAGCGGCCAACGATGAAGGAGGTTGCAGAGAGGTTGGAGATGCTGAGGAGATACCACCACCACCCGTGGGCTCAAGCAGATGCTAATCCAGAGGAGGAACAGAGCTTGCTTGCTATGGAATAACAGAATGTGAATTACAAATTCACACAGGATTATGTCCTTGATTTTGAAGCAAGCAGCACATACAGCTTTAGCTCGTAGATCAAAATATTTTGTTCCATTTTTTCTCCGTATCCTTTCAGACATGTGTTTTTTTGGATGTAAGCAAACAAGTGCACATATGATGGTTGCAGTAAAGTGAGATCTAAACGTTACACGGGTTGTACAATTCAGTGAAATTGTAGAAATTATCTAAATCAACAATATGCAATATGTATAAATTATCTAAATCAGCAAATTGTGTTAGATATGCCCTAGACTGGCGAAGTTCAGAATATAATTTACTCAGAGAGATTATTGCAAACTTGGTGTCGTCGAATCATCCCTTTAAGTCGCACATATTCATCCCTTTATTGATTTATGCAGAGATGATCAGTTGCACATAATCAGTAACTTACAGCACCGTGTCACGAGAGATAGTCCCCTGTTCTGTAAAAATAATAGCTAGCGCCCTGGAGATTGTGAACTTACAATGTCGTCGAGAGCTTGAGAAAGAGACATGTCTCCATATGTAGAGGTGATGTACTCGGACATAGCTGCATTGTGGTGGTCATGAAGGACAGATTGCCTGGTTACAAGTAAATAAAAGCTTAGAGCCATAAGTTACAACATAATTGTCAATCAACTGATGTGAAAGCATACATTGCTCCATAGTACGAGCTTCTGTCGTAGCCTAGTTCTCCTGTACAGTCTTTTAGCTTTCGTTGTTTGTTTTCCTTTTTGGTTTAGAATTTCACATTCTGGTTCCCGTTTCAGGATATACACTCTGGTTTATTATCTGCAAGATGTGAATACACCAAAACAGATATCACAACTTGTCACAAGGTGATGTCAATACTGACTGTAACTGGGAATTTCTTTGGCATCGTGACACAACGTAGCTAGCAGTATTTAATTGACATTATCACTAAATTTGAGTAAAACGAGGGAGGGTTAGTAAAGCTACTCCGACTGAGCCTCGCTGAAGAGCTCCCAAATGCTACCCTTCTTCTGTTGCTCATCAGCCAAGTCTGTCCCCTGCAATAGCAGCCGCACGAAAGTCAGATTGAATGAACAGCAGCGGCCAAATAGAGTATACAGATTTGACACTGAATTTTCTAGTCCACACCTGGTCGATGCTTGCTTCGAGGTCCAGCCTGAAAATTTCCCCAAATCGGGAGAGATAAACTTAGGGAATCAATTAACCCCACAGGTGCAACGGAAATCGAACCGAAACAGAGGTGAGAGGAGCTCGCGGCGCGGGCACCCACCTGACGGCACTTGTGGAGCTCCCACCGAGGCGGAGTGGACGAGGCGGCGGCGGGGCTGGAACTGGCACTAGCACCGGCAGCGCCGCAGCGGCGTCGAACCCTCCGGCGACCCGCCGGGCGGGACGGGACAGCGGCGCATGGGAGCCGGGGAGAACCGCCGGAGAAGAGGAGGAGGAAGGGGCGGTGTGAGTGACTGACTGGCAGCGGGCCGCGGCAGTTCGGGCCTCCCGGTCCTTTGGCGGGCCGAGCGTTTCTGTCTCCTCGCGGCCTGGAAGAAAATACGGCCCGGCAAGAGAGGTACATGGATCTCCGCCGAATCGATCCTCGGCTTATCCATCCTCCAGAGTTCGGATCGAATCGTACCCGCAGGAGAGGCTAGGGTTTGGTTGGATTGGAGATGGAGAATGGCCGCTCGCGAGGATCCGGCGAAGCCTCTGGATGGACCGGCGAAAAGAGAGCAAAGACCCAAAGCACACCTAGCACTCCCGGGGATCTCGGCAAGGTGGACACCGGGCATTCTTCCGGCGGACAAGAGCAGATCGAAGGCCTTGACTGGGACAACGACAAGCTCCAAAGGGACCGTCGTGCGCCACGTCCCAGAGGACTTCCTCGTCAAGTTCACCCACCCTCACCACCGCGACAACGTCATCGCCCGCGGCAACTTCGAGCGTGACCAGCTGCAGCTTCTCCCCAAGCCTTGGATCATGGAGGCGCAAGCAGAGCACCAGAAGATGAAGCACCATGTTCAGCTCAGCTTGGAGGGCATCCCCTTGCATGCCTGGAATGAGGACACCATCAGCCGCGTCATTGGCATCGACATCGAGCTCGACTACATCCTCCCGCGCTCCACCCGCAAGGAAGACGCACGCACGCTCGGCATCCCAAAGGTGATGCAGCTCTCGCTGCCTGCCAGACGCGCCCAGCGGCGAGGGCGTGGCCGGCGCCGTCTCCGCTACAGAGTCCTGGTCCACCTGGGGCTCCACGAGGACTACTCCGGCGCCAACGACGACGACCCAAGGGCCAACCCGGACATCTACGAGCACACTTGGCACCACCGTGTGGTGGATGGCGACCGGGCGCCGCCAGACACCCAAGAGGAGCCTCGCGATGGGCACGGCCGTGGGCGCCGCGACGACGACGAAGATGACGCGCGACGAGGCCGCGACCACGGGCGTGACGACAGGGCCTCCCGGTGGCCGGGACGCAGCCGTTCGCGCGCTGCCCGTGACCACGACGGTGACCGTGGTGACGACCAGAGGCGGGGACGCGATGACCGCGATGGTCGGGATGGGCACAGGCGTCGGCAAGCTGGAGCCGCTGACTCTTCCACTAGCCCTGCCAGGAGCCCGCGGGGTGGCTCTTCGCGTTGCACGCACCCTCTCGACGCGGCGCGCTCGACTTCCCCCACGTCCGTCCTCCCAACTCCACCATCTCCGGTGATAATGCCTGATGAAGCTGCCGCGGTCGGAGGCACGGCTGCTAGCCCCGTCCTGCGCATCCTTCTGGTTCCAACCCCTGCCCCGACGCTGTCTGCCTCTTCCTCAATGCCAGCACGCCCACCAGGATACGAGCTCTCCACTCCGCTCAGCTCGCCTCGTCAGGCTACTAGCCAGACACGCCCCTCGCTGGCCACGCCTCTTCATGTCACAAGCCAGCCAGCTCGCCGCACCCCATCGCCGACTCGCCACGGCCACGACAGCTTCGACGCCCTCTTCAAACAGCCGGAGGTTGCGCTCCTGCCTGCACCACCTCCTATGTCACGCGCGCAGACCACTCGAAGGAAGACCATGGCAGGCGTCACAATCAACTCCAGCGTCGGCTTCTCCCTGCAGCGCACCATTGCGCGCGCTAAGGAGCGACAGGCTGCTGCTCCGGTCTCGGTGGAGGCTGAGAAGCTCGTCTGCCGAAGCCTTGGGATCGTGCAAGACGGCAAAGATATCACAAAGGATGCACCGGATGAACTGGGCCGCCGTTTCCAGCACGAGCTATCGCCAACAGTGATATCGGCGCTACATGCTTTGTTCAAACTTGATGACGAGGAGGCCATGGCTGTCGAAGGCGCCCTGATCAACCGTGGTGGTCAGGCTGCTCTGGACCACGAGGTGGTCAAGGCTACAGGAGTTGCCTGATTGTTCAGCAGGCACCAACCGAAGCGAGTTTTAGCTAGTTTCCAATGTTATCCTTCTTAGCTCAAGTTAATTGTTTCAGTGATCGGTGGCCAAGCTTCTCTTGCCTCCCTGATGGTTGTAACCGTGTGTCGGCCTGCTGTACCTCTGTAGCTGGTTGTATCCTCGTTGTACTGCTTCCTAGTTTGATGAAGAATGCATGTGTTTGGCTACTTGCCTCTGCTGTGCACTGGAGCCTTCCCCAAGTCAGTCCACACTCCATTGCAGCCATGTCTTCGCCTATTCTCGGTTCCCCTGTGATGCAACCTTGCTGGGCGCTGTTCCACAGTGCCATGAGAACCATCGTTTCCCCATGACAGAACAAAAAATCGACTTCCTCAGTTGGAATGTGCGAGGCCTGAATGATCCTCATAGACGCGCGACGGTGCACGAGACGATCTCCTCCTCGTCCTGTCACATAGTTTGCCTCCACGAGTCTAAGCTGGAGGATATTGACCAATTTGTTGCCACCTACCTTGGCGGAAATCGGCTACGGAGCTTCGCCCAACGGCCTGCGGTGGGCACTAGAGGCGGCA